TGTACGGTGCTTCACCTATTGACTACCCTGAGATAGGGGGTGTGGGCTGATACAACTTCTCTGTCCCCACAAAACTGAAATGATGCCCCCGCTGCACACAACGTACTAGAGGCACAATTGCTCCGAGATCCCGTCACCTCTGCATGTCCCTGGCACCCAGCCCACCGGTGTCGCTGTAGACCAGGAGCTAGGGTTGCCAAGGGTCCGGTTTTGACAGGAATGCCCGGTCGAAAAAGGACCCTGGCGGCTCCAGTCAGCACCACTGACCAGGCCGTTAAAAGTCCGGTTTGCGATGCAGCAGGGCTAAGCCAGGCTCCCTGCCTGCCGTAGCTCCGTGTAGTTCCCAGAAGCAGCGGCATGTCCCCCCTCCGGCTCCTACAGTAGGAGCAGCCAGGGGAAACTGTGGCCAATGGGAGCTGCAGGGGAGGCACCTGCGGATGGGGAAGCACACAGAGCCATCTGGCCAATGGGAGCTGCTTGAGGTAAGTGCCGCCCAGAGCCTGCACCCCCAATCCCTAGCCCCAGCCCTGATCCCCGTCCCACCTTCTGAACCTCTCGATCCCAGCCCAGAGCACGCTCCTGCACCCCAAACCCCTCATCCCTGGCCCCACAGGCCACACCCCCGGCCATAGCCCTCACCCCCCTGCACTCCAAACCCAGCCCAGAGCCCCCTCCCACACCCTGAACCCCTCATTTCTGGCCCCTGAACCCACACCCCCAGCCCAGAGCCCATACCCCCTCCCACACCCCAACTCCCTGCCTCAGCCAAGAGCCCCCTTCCATACTCTGAACCCCTCAGCTCCACCCCCCAGCCTGGAGCCCCCTTCTGCACCCCAAACCCCACCCCAGAGCCTGCACCCCCAGCTGGAACCCTCACCCTCTCTTGCATCCCAACCCACTGCCTCAGCCTGGAGTCCCCTCCTGCACCCTGAACTCCTTATTTCTGGCCCCACCCTGGAATCCGCACCCCCAGCCGGAGCCCTCACCCCCTCCCACACCCCAATCCCCCTGAGCCAGCCCGGTGAAAATAAATGAGTGAGTGAGGGAAGAGCAAGCAACAGAGGGACGGGGGAAATGGAGTGAATAGGGGCGGGGCCTCAGTGGAGGGGCGTGGCTGGGGGGGGGCAAGGGTGGTTTTGTGTGGGTAAACGTTGGCACCCCTACCAGGAGCCATGAAACATGGAGGAGAAAAGGAACACTGAGCGAGCTGTGAAGTTAAGAATGGGAAAGCTTAGTCTGAATGTCAGGGGAACTTCCTAAGGGCTCGTTTACCCCCAGTTCTTCACTGAAACAAGCTTTGCTGCTATAAGCGCTCATAGCAATATAACTGTCCAGTCATGGCCCGGGCTGCATTGGGCTAGGTGCCGTACAGACACAACAAAAAGATGTCAAGTATCGGGGTAGCCGTGTTAGTCTGTATCTACAAAAACAACAAGGAATCTGGTGGCACCTTAGTCTTTAAGGTGCCACCAGACTCCTTGTTGTTTTTTAACAAAAAGATGGTTGCTGCCCTGAAGAGCCTACCCAGTGAGAAGTGCTCCCAGCTTCTCCCAGAAGTTGGTCGGGGAGGAAGGAGGAGGGTTTTTTACCACACACCTGCAGGAATCACAGGGCAAGGCCAGGAACTACAGCAAGGAAGGGCCCTCATGGCAGGTTCTCTCTCATCGTATCTAAGTTCACAAGCTGAAAAAAAGGGAAACCTGCCCAGAAAAGCAGCCAGTCCAGCTATCTGCCTCTAACAAACCATTACCAAATCCCTCTCCACAGCAGCCTGGCGCTGTTTGCTGACACAACAGTGCAAGGTCCAAACGCCCCCTCTGCTTTTCATGTAGTGCCCTGGTTATCAGCACAGCGGTTAGGCTTGTAGACTCGTGCTCTGGGTCCAGTTTGGATAGATCTGACATTCCGGTTGGGAAACTCGGAGGAAGGGAAAGTCAGGCCAAACAGAAAACTGAAAGTTTTACGAAATTCTGACCCTTCTCTAGCACAGTCAATTTCTGCAGATTCCGACCTAGTAGGAAAAGCGTTATAGGCGGAGTCTCACAACCCACTAAGTCAATATAGAGGAGCTCAGCATCCTACACAATCAAACCCTGGCATTGGAATTATAATGGTCATGCCTGAAAAGGCAGCAGAGTGGTCCCCCTCCTCAGTGAACATCCCCAGGTAGCCAAGTACATGTGTTCGGTCACTAGTTAAAGCCCACTTATGCGCTGTGGATTGCCACCAAAGACAGGTTTCGCTATTCCCTTCCGTCCTCAAAGGGGTATAGAGTGACTGTCATCTCCCCCAGCTTAGCTTAAATCAAATCAATTGAAAGTCAGAGTAAGCCGCACATCCATGTTATTGGGGGGAACATTCTGGTAGACACCAATAAAACTTCAGAAGCAATCAACTACAATACAGGATTTAAATCGGTTTATTTATTCCTCACATCAAGTATTTAAGGTAACAATGTCCCAAAATTAGTCCCCCAATTAAATAATACATAAAACACCTGCTTCACCTATAAAAGGCCAGTTAACCTGTTAAAAAAAAATCATCCAAGTCACTTTCCTTCTTTAGACTAATGTCCAGTGGAAGATACATGGGGCCAGCTCTGCTCCTGTTTACTTCCATATAAATCTAGAATGATTCCATTGACTTCAATAAAGTACTACGTGTGTAAATCTGGAGCAGAATTTGGGCCCAAGTCCGTATACATTTTGTTGGTCTCTATAGCAATAATTTAAATGGTTAATTCATCAGGTCTTAACAGATTACAAAGATTTGCATAACACCGTCACCGCTGTTATGGGAGTAAACATTTAAATTAGTAGGAAGACTTTGAATAAGTGACCTGCTCTTAATTTAGAGACAAACAGAAAGAAACGTAAATACATAACAGACTCAGGCCTGGTTTACATTACAGTTATGGTCAATGTAAGGCAGCTTACGTCAACCTAATTATGTCAGTGTGTACACTACAATGCTGCTTCTGCCCAAGTAAGTGGCCAGCTACACTGACCTAACTACTCCACGAACGGCGTAGCGCATATGTCAATGTAGTTGGGGTGATGCAGTGTCCGTGTAGACTTTACTTACATCGCCTTTTGACTGTGAGCCTGCGCATGGCTGTCAGCGGGGGGCAGGGGAGAGCGGGCACAGCTGTGAACCTCGGGGCTACCAGGCTCCAGCTGTCAGTGTCTCTCAATGCCCCACTTCAGTCGGTGGAAGCGCTCCTGGTGAGGACGCGCATCACTGACAGAAGGAGCAAGTGTGGACGTGAACCACCGCTTTAATTACCACGGTGGCTGTACATCAACTTAACGTAAGTTGACTTCATTTTGTAGCGTAGACATGCCCTCTATCTACCTGCACAGCTCCACAGATGAGCTGTGCTAGAAGACAATGCTAGCTAATGCGCTCACTTCAAGTACCGGAACTATCAACTGTTTCCCACTCATTGTTGAAATTCAGCATCACATACGCAGCCACCCACAATAAATGACTTTACTAAATCACATTATTACATTTGTATTTTCAATTTGCTTGTAACCATGTTCCCTCAAAGCAAATTTAACGTACAGAATACCTCGTGATCTGGAAGCGGGGTGGTGTTGGTCCCCCATATATAAACTCTTACATGCTATGACACTACAGTAGAACCTCAGAGTTATGAACATCTCAGGAATGGAGGTTGTTCGTAACTCTGAACAAAACTTTATGGTTCTTTCAAAAGTTTACAACTAAATATTGATTTAATACAGCTTTGAAACTTTATTATGCAAAAGAAAAATGCTGCTTTTAACCATCTTAATTTAAATGAAACTAGCACAGAAAAAGTTTCCTTACCCTGTCAAATCTTTTTTAAAACTTCCCCTTTATTTTTTTAGTAGTTTACTTTTAACCCAGTACTGTACTGTATTTGGGTTTTTTGGTCTCTGCTGCTGCCTGATTGTGTACTTCTGGTTCCAAATGTGGTGTGTGGTTGACCGGCCAGTTCATAACTCTGGTGTTCGTAACTCTGAGGTTCTACTGTATTATCTACCTTCTAGGTTCTGTTTAAAGCCTTGTCTACACAGGAAAGTTTTACCGAGGTATAACTCCCGGTGTGGACACACATATTAAAATAAGAGTGGCTTTTTTTCAATTTAGCTTAAATCCCTTCCCAAGTGATATAAGCTAAATTTAAATAAAAGGCACTCTCATACCAGAATAAGTGTGTCCACAGAGAGAGTTATACTGGGATTAAATTCTCACCTTAGGTTATACTGAACGAACACACATACGTTGACAAGGCCTAAGTCATGAGCCACAAAGCCTCTCAGCAGCAAAGTTCTCAAGTGACCTGAATTACAACATAAAATTCCACCAAAGAATTTCTCCAAACACCAGTCGAGGATCAGAGAAAACATTTCCCCATTTACCCAGCTACTCTGTCCCTCCCACTCCCCCCCCACCCTGACACCCTAATGCTCTTTTCCACTGCTCAGCAGCCACCGAATCACCCCAGATGCAGCGAGCCGCTTTCATTCAGCAGAAACATCACTGCAGCCCCATTGGGAGACCCCAGAAGGGAAAAACGTTAACATGTAGGCTATAGTACACTCTTGTTCTCCTGTTGCCCTTCTCTGGCACCTCCAAGGATCTCACAGTACTTGTCAGAGATTAGCGAGGCCTTGCAGCTCCTGTGTGAGGTAGGTAAATATCAAAATCCCCATTCGACAGTTGAGGAAATTGAAGCACAGAGAAATTAAATTATTAGTCCATGGTCAGAACCGGGTACAGAACCCAGGTGTCCTGGCTGCCCACCCTACTCTACACAATAGATAAGGAATGCCTAAGGCACATTGCTCTCAGGAGGGACATGACCAATTTTCATCTGATCAGGAGTTTGGATTGGCTAGGATTACACAGTGCTCAGCTATGAGCCGCTTCTCTGCCAACCAAAGAACAAAGGAAGACAAAACGATTGTAGATGGACTAACCCAAATGAAAGAGCCTCTCAGCCAGCCTGGAGGACAGTGAAATGGGACATAATCGAGGCGAGACAGTCCTGCCAACAGCCTGATCCAGATGAAAACTCGCAACGGAGAGAAAGGAAAACCAAGCCAAACTCAAACATGTGTTATGCTGTAGCTGGACATACCCAGTGTCCCATTAATACTCCATGGAAATAAAAGCCTAATTAAAACAATTGGTTGCCAGACAGGTTAAAAAAATACCTTTGAAAACTATTAAATATATAGATTGTATTTCCTAAAAACAATATATTAAGTCACATCTTTAAGAGAGATGAATGTATGGGGTGATCTTCGGGGCCTGAAAGCCATGTGGTTGTTGGGATCCCACGGTTGAGAAGTTGGCGGGGGGGGGGGGGGTGGACATCTGTCACCCCCATCAGAACATGGAAATGCTATAAGCATTGTCGGTTGCTCTGCCTCCAATGCACCCTGTAAATCACTCACTCAGCACCAGGATTAGCCGTGTGGCATGATCTGCTCTCTCAGACCGCTCTCCTATTGACATGATCATCAGTGACTTCTGCATCGTGCACATGATCGTACGGCATGACAGTAACAATTATTGCCTTTCTTCACATTAGATTATTGCATTCAATCCTCTTCAACTCGCCAGTATGTCCCAAGGCCTGTACATGGAGATGACCAGTCCCCCCGTGACCTCCCTGCAGCTCTATCGCTTTCTCCCCCACTTGCCTGTTGTTTCCTAACGGGGGAGCTAGAACAGAAAATGGAAGGTCTATTGAGGCCGTTATCTGGAGCTTTAGACCAGCAATAAAGCACGAGGGCAAGGCAGAAGATTGGTTTCATCAGCAAAGAAACCCAGAAGGCCTCTTGGAGGGGAATTTTGTTGTTCAGATGAGAGACTCTCTCTTTTAGCAGCTGAGCACGTTTTATACCTGGGATTCCTGCACTGTCACATCCCCAGTGAAATGCATCCAACGGGATTTCTTAAAGGTCCACAGTCCATTTTAGCATCTAGAAATGAACTCTACCGGGTGGTAGAACATGACCCCCCTCTGGGTTTTGCTGCAGCAATGGTGGGGTGGGAGCAGGACGGTTATCTGGTTCGGACACTGTTTGTTGCTACAGAAGGTAGCAGCTTTTCCCGAGAGCTGCACGATGGCGTCCATGTCCCCTTTCCAGAAGATCACCTGGGTGAATTCAGCCCGTGGTCCTCATGCTATAAGAGCAAATCCGCAAGGGTGGTGCCTTGACGCCATCCAACAGCTTTAAGCGCCAGTGCCTCTGCTTGCTTCTTCACGGTTTCCGCTAAGTGACATGCCTGTCAGAGCCACTCCCTCCTCGGGGTCCTGCAGGCCACCTACAAGGAGCAGGGAAAGGGAGACACAGCACGGTCACTGAGGAAGATGCATACAGGAGTCCCGGTTTTCAACACTCTCATTTTATGCAAATTGTGACTCATTTTTAATTAAGGATCAAGGTTGAAGCAATAAATGAACCATAAGTTGGAGGCTTTTCATAATCGGCTCCAATTTTGGGCATTCTGGCAGCATACAGGATTTTAAACTAACACCAGAAGGTGACTCACCTCACCCGATCGTAGATAAGGAGCTCTGGGTCCCAATCCTGGAATCTGATCCACACCGACAACCCCCATTCCCGTGTGATGCCTCATCAACTTCCATTGGACTCCACACGGGCAAGAGGGTCTGTCTGCCTGAAATCGATTGCAGGACCAGGGCCTTGAATGTTTATTGAACTAGATTTTCTTGCCACCACAATTTTCAATGGAGCAAATGCCCTTTCTGTACCAAACGTTTCACAAACTGGGCATTTCAGTGATTTGCCCACGTAGGCTCCTGTTTAATCTGAAGCCCCCAGTTGCACCCCGTCACATAACGAATTATTATAACAAGAGGGTTCTCCTCCACGTGGGGTGTCCTCCTCACCATTGGTCATGGATCAGTTTGGAAATTAGCAAGGCAAAAGATACATTTACTATTAATAAAGGTATTATTCAGGACTTCTCCCGAAGCAGTCTGTAGCCTCTGGCCAACAATGCCCCTGCAGAAAGGGGAACATTGCTGGGAAATGCAAAAATTGCGGGAACAGTATTTGAAACTGCATTTCCAAAGAACCTCAAGAGTGATCTGGAGTAGGGCTCTAAGTCATTATTTAGAAAGAAGGATACGTTCTGTGTCCGGCCTTGTCTACACTAGACAGTGGCATAGTTATACCAGCAACCCTTCCTAGTGGAGATGCAGCTTATACCAGCAAAAGAGTTCTTTAGCCGGTATAGTTTACACCAGTTCGGTGAACAAAATAAATCATCTATACCAGCAAAAGGACCCCGTTGGCAGTATAACTGCATCTACACGAGGGCATTTGCCAGCACAGCTATGTCAGTTAGAGGTGTGAATTTTTTCACACTCTTAAATGACATCACTTTGCCAGCAAAACTTAAGTGTAGACCAAGTTTCAGCTACACCCATAGAAGTCCACTGACGTCAGTGACACTACGTGTGTAAATAAAGAGAGAACTGGGCCCACTGAGTTTTTATTGGACCAGATAAAATACCTAAGAGATGCTGGCAAAGCACCTACCAACACAGGGTCCTTTGCTATTACAATAAAGACAAGGGATGGGAGAGGTAATGAGTCAGACCCAGCAGGGCGAGAGAGAACTGGAACATTCATGGTGGTGAGACGGTGAGAGACTGAAAAAAGCGGGTGGGCAGAACAGGGGTGGATGTGAGTTTAGAAGTCCAGGAGGGTACAGATGCACATATAGTAGGGGGTGCCTGCCTTGGGGCTGTGCAGGTAGGCCAGGCCCAGCAATTAACATCTTCAAAGTGCTGCGAGTGGTGCGGCCCAGTTAGCGATTTATAGTTCAGACATGTTCTGGCAAATCCATTGCCACTCCACTGCCACATTACAACCAACACTGCGTGCAGGCCACTGCAGTGAGCACAGGCAGATAGAGGGACCCAGCAATGTGCTCATAAAATACCGGGGCAAGACAACACTAAAAGAAACATCCCAGCCAGCATGCTACGGGGATTGTCTCTCAGCATTTGGATGTTGTGGGGATGGCTGTGCCTATGGTGTTATATGTGCTGCCAGCAGAGGATAGATTCCAGGGGCAGTTAGTACTGATGCATCAGCCCGTGCGTACTGAGACGTTCTCCCTAAGGAAGCCAGCCCACATTAGGCTTGGGAATCAGAGCCTGCTGGGGTTTCACTAGAAAAGGACCATAGGCCAGACCTTGTGGCTTAGTGGGAGCACTCGGCATCATCATAGGGGAGATTCGGGTTCCAAGGCTTCTCCCGATCGACCATTCCTTAGACTGGAAAGATCTGGGAATGCTGCCGGGGAAAAAAAACACGGTTGCCGCACATCATAAGATACAACTGTCCTGCTAGGAGCCCACTGCTGGACGTGTGGAGAACAGAAGCACCTCAAGGGAGCTGAGCATACCCTCATGAAGGTTGTTGGCAGCATTAGCCGATCGGCCTCTTCTCCGGCTCCTCCTGCCCCAGGGGACGCACCGCAGGAGGGAGGGGAATCTCCGCTTCTCTCTCTCCTCCCCACCTTGGAAATAAAAGAGCACGGGGAGTTATCAGCAAGAGACAGGACATTCTCAAGTCCTTGCTGGCAATAGCGGGACCTGCCTTATTCTGGGTCACGTATAGTACGGCTGTTCCCTGCTGGCAGACAGTGGTACCCCCTGCTCCTCAACCTTGGGGTGTTGGAAATTTGGGCCTCTAGATAGAACTCACCATGTGAAATCATTAAACGGTACCCAGAAATCCATTCCTCCCCTGGTGAAAATTCTTACCTAGAGTGGACACATTCAGAATAAGCACTATTTGTCCACGCTTTCTTGCTGCCAAGAATTTCCTTAATGATTTTCACTAACAGTTGGGTTTGGATGGGTTTTGTATTTGCTTCAATGAGAGGACTGTTGGCAGCCTCAGGAAGCACAGCACGGAAGCTGGCACGGATTTGCTCGTGCACACACACAGAGCAGCTGTGAGAGCTAAAACATGAAGAGAGAAGGCAGGCAGAAACCTCACATCCTGCGTCAGGGCCTCGGCCCCAGACACTTATTTTATTGCTTCCTATTGATTGACTAGTTCCCCCCTCCCAGGGAGACCTGCTGGAAATAGATTTGTATTGTACTTGACAATGCCGTAGAATCTGCATAAGGAAAAGAACACTCCAGTGGAAGGTGAGTTACTATTAGATCTTGAGACATTACTGTAAAATACTAGGTTTCAGAGGGGTAGCCATGTTAGTCTGTATCAGCAAAAACAAGAGGAGTCCTTGTGGCACCTTAGAAACTAACCAATTTATTTGGGCATAAGCTTTCGTGGGCTAATTCACAGGAGTCAAGACTATTGGGGGGCTGTCTGTAAGCAAGGACTGGCCCATCTCACAAGGTCTGTGAGAGTGAGGCATCATCCTTCAGGATAGGTTGTAGATCCTTGATGATGCGCTGGAGAGGTTTTAGTTGGCGGCTGTAGGTGACGGCTAGTGGTGTTCTGTTACTTTCTTTGTTGGGCCTGTCCTGTAGTAGTTGACTTCTGGGTACCAGAGCCCCTTCTTGTCAACTGTAGGAAATGGGCCACATCTACCCTAATTGAATTGGCCTCGTTAGCACTGACCCCCCAACTTGGTAAGGCAACTCCCATCTTTTCATGTGCTGTATATTTATACCTGCTACTGTATTTTCCACTCCATGCATCTGATGAAGTGGGTTATAGTCCACAAAAGCTTATGCCCAAATAAATTTGTTAGTCTCTAAGGTGCCACAAGGACTCCTCGTTGTTTTTGTAAAATACTAGGATATTAGACAAGGGTAGTTTTACTCTCACACAGCCTCACATGACAAACAGATTATTGGAGCAATCGGGTATCCCCAAATCCTAAAATATGCAATATCTCATCCACCAATCAAACCTTATCTCCAAGAAACTTAAGTTTATCAGCCGCTTTAGCAGTGACTCTCCTTACTAAGGCAATCGATCTTATGCAACATTAAGCCGCACAAAGTGATCCTCTTGACTAACAAAACAAATCCCTCAATAAAATAATTTTTACAACATGACTGTTCCCCCCTTTAGTCCCTAGTGAACATAGATGAATGTCATGCTCAGGGAAAGCAGGTTAGCACACTAGCATTTCCCCTCTTAGCGCTTGGGTGCACGATCTAGTTAAGGTCGTAAGTGTAAGTGGATATCCATTGTCTCCATCCACATCTGACTTGGTCTGCACTTAAAACTGTTACCAGTGTTGCTGCATTGGTCAGGGGTGTGACCAACACAGCTATGCCAACAAAACCACCAGTGCAAAGTGCTTCTGTCACCATAGCTAATGTCAGGTTGTTGTTATTGGGGGTTTTTTGGGGGGAGGTGGGAGAAGGAGGGTGTTCCTACATCAGCAGGAACATAAGAACAGCCATATTGGGTCTGACCAATGGTCCATCTATCCCAGTATCTTGTCATCCAACAGTGGCCAGTGCCAGATGCTTCAGAGGGAATGAACAGAACAGGACAATTATCGAGTGATCGAGAAAACTCTTTCCATCAGCATACGCTGCATCTACACTACAGACCCTAAGTTCAAGAGAGGTGTGGGACCAGAATAGCAAAGGGGTGCTGTAGTTCAGGTCTGCACTGTGAGAAGCTGTGTGGTGGCATGGCTTGAATAGTAGAAAGCTACAGAGCAAAACGGAGATGAAAGGGGAAAGGCAAAGGCTTGTCGACACAGGAAAGTTGTACTAGTAATACCGGTATAGTTACACTCCTGCATAAGAGTGACTTTTTTCAGCGTAGTTTACACCCCTTCCCAAATGACATGAACCAAACCAAGACCAACACACACTTATTCCAGAATAAGCATGCCCCCGCCCATACTGGGAGTTATACCAGTATAATTCCAGCAGTTTAAATTCACATCTTATTTATAACAATGTAACTTTCCCAGGTAGATATGGCATGCCCTCATAACACTGCAACAGGCTCAAATCACTGCTGTTCATCCCTCGCACAAGTTTAAAAATACTATTCCCCATTGTATTGGTGGTGAAAGCAATTAGGGCCAACCCCTGAAGTCCTGACTCCTGTGAATTCTCCTCATGTACACGAGTAAGCTCACTAGTGCTACTAGCATGGGTATGGGTTGTAGGATCGGTACTTTGTTGTTATCACCTGCACCAGTTTAAAACGATCATCCCCCTGGGAGGGCTCAGGCAGGCCAGCTGCAGTGACAAGCATCCTCCAGACACCTAAAACATGAGCGTACAGCCCGGGGCCCTATGCAAACAGGCCTTCTGAAG